GAGATGTCTTGTGTTTCTCTGCTGTCACCCAAGGGTTCTTTGTCACTTGTTTAAGTACTCTGCAGTGAAGCTTTGTAAGGCTCCAGTTCCTAGGGAGAGAAGCAGCAGTGCTGAATATGTTTTATCTGTAATCTTGCTGGCGGTAGGCTGATGAAGGCCAAAGTCTGTAGAAATCAGTTTGTAATCCAGTGTTAGAGACATCGATAAATCAAAATGTCTTGTGCTGTCTTTTGACCAGCCATTTGCTCTTGAACTTGAGGTAAAATCTACACACACATTTTCAGGAGGCCATTATGATAAGATTCACTAAACTTTAAAATGAATACATTTTTCCAAAAAAAAAAAAAAGAAAAAGAAATGTATCTTAGAGTGGCCCAAAAATACTGAAAGTCTGAATGTCACTGCATTAGATTAAATATGAAATCAAGTGGCATTTGCTAAACAAATTATGTCAGAATAATTTTTTTCTGAGCCATTTTTTAAATGATTTGTAACCTACTAATCTCAAGCTGATTTTTTAAATTCACACAGGTCTTCTAGAAGAGTAGAGATAGGTAACCTATTCATCACATTGAGAATTATTTATTTACATTTGGGGATCAGAAAGTGCCCATATATATTTTGTATTAAATTTGAACAATGTATCTACAGGTTTAACCTAACACACACGTCTTAGTTATAAATAATATGTTTTTTTTTATTGATTTTGTTATTTTGTTTTGAAATCATGTTGTTTTAGGAATACAAAGGATTTACAAGTGAATGCAATATGTAAACTGGATTCTCACAATTCAAGTGAGATTACTGGTCTAGAATAACTGTGAAGATAAGTAACATCGACAGATGGAAGTGTGAGGAATTCAAGATGAATGAATAGTTCAAACTGATAAAAAGTGACTTCATTTTCCTCCCTCTTACTGACAGCCCAGTAAGAACAGAGCCCATATTTCAGTTATTTTTATTAAAGGCGAGTGAATCTCTAGGCTAAATGTAAGACCAGGAAAATTATCTAAAGTTCAGTTTTATTGGACACAGCTATTAATGAAAACTAAATAATAATTCACCTTACACAAATTATCATTTTAACCGTGAATTCATGACTTGGGTCTTCTGAATGTTTAATGAATGGAATAAACTCAAAACTTTAATAATGCAGGCTTAATTTTTCATTTTTATTCTCTGAGGAATGTAAAAGCCATAACCCAAGTGACACATCAAATGTCAAGTAGCACTTCAGGAACTGACTTGCTATAAGCAAACACAACAGAGCCCTCCTTGAGCAAGGATAAATCATTTTCGCTTTTTTATCATGTGCAAGAAAATGATATTGATTTCAGAAAGGCTCTGTACTGAAGAACCACACAGAGCAGACACCACCACAGCAATGCCCTCAGCTGCTATAATCCTTCGGTGGGGACTTTAATTAAAAGATAATTTTTAATTAGTCTGGTCGGCAGCGACTGACATTTTGGGTGCAGTTTGTCGTTTGCGTTGAAATGGCACAGTCATGGCACAAAGACCACAGGGCAAGATTCACAGATCACTGCACTGTAAGGGTTTCGGATCAATTACTGTAAACACCAGGGTGTCAAGAGGCTAATATTATATGAGGTGACATCAAGTCTTTTAATTGTGTGAATGACATGAAACAGCTCACTGAGCCATCCTGTGACTTTTTTTTTCCCACCTTAATAATAGATAGAGACTACAAACTAACATTTTCCTCATATGTGCAGAGTGAATTATTATTAATAGCTGTGTGTGAAATTACATTCATATTTATGGTCCTACATTTACAGGATCCACTCATCTCTAATAACATGATTTTAAATAATTTTGTGCATATTACTGTTAATACAAATCTTTCAAGCTCCAAAAAGGATCAAACGTAATTCATATGACCCAACTGGTGCATTCTTCATGAAGAACAGAATGAAATTTACATTGAATACATCAAATATGGCAACACAAACCTCAAAGTAATGGCAAACATATTTTCTCACTTCACATGATTAAGCATGGTGACATTTGAGGTTTATGTAGCCATATTTTACAAAGTTTATGTATTTGTGTATTGGTCATTGTTTAATTTGAAATTGAGAGTGAATTACATTTTGACTGTTCATATTCAAAGTGATTGTGTCGCTGTAGAAGATTTTATACCAATATACCACTCAAGCCTTCTGGAATTAATTTTAAATTTATATCTTATAAAAATCTTATATTTTTTTGGAGCTTGAAAGTTTTGATTTCTTTTGATTTTTCAGTATAGACAAAAACAACTGAAACATTATTATTTATTTTTTTTTAGTTCAACAGTGTTTTTTTTATCTATCCCTTTAAAAATAAGGGAAACTAACCACAAACATTTTAAGTAAAGGTTTAACATTACGCATAAAAGCCGTTGTTTTTTTTACCTGCATTTGTTGGAGAGATATTGCTTAATAGATATATGCTTCATTCCTGAAAGCTGTGAGGTGACAGGGACAGTGAGAAAGGGGTCGACCGATTCTGATTTCACCTTTAATACTCCCTCTCTCGCTCTGTCTGATTCTCTGCCTCTGCTGACACTGTTGTTAGACAGTGATGGTCGATGCCCCTTTGACCTTCACTACTTGCCTGCCTTAAATATGTGGAAAACAAGCAAGATAATACCCAGGCATGATTGTATGTGTGTGTGGATGCATGTGTAATTTCAACCTTGACAGTGGTGTCTGCCTCAGTTCTGTGCAGGCAGGGTTGATCTCCCAGGAGCCTCTACGGCAGCTACAGGGCGGGAGTGATGCGGGAGAGAGCAAAACCTTTAAGATAACTGACAGCTGTCATCCTGTACTGGATTGACCCCTTTCCCTCCCCGTCTCACTTCTCTTCCAAATTTCAACAGAAAACAAAGTCCACCTGCTTGTGAAATCAACTGATCATATATTTTACTATGATAGGAGAAATGTAATGCATTAGACGCAATGTGTTTTCCATAAATAGACATTCAGTGATGTGGTTGCCATTTGCATCCATATTTGGTAATCCCGGAGGGATTACAGATAACGCAGAAGAACAAACACAGACCCCTGAGTGTTGTTTCTGATTACCATATTGCACTGAATGCCCTTCTGTGCCATAAAAAAAACACACATAAAATCTCACACAGCCACAACCAAAGCCAGTGTCAGCGATTTTGACAGACTCATTATGGGTTGGCACATTTTGAACATTTTATTCTGTGCACATCCACTATTGCGCTTTATTAAGACGCATTGTCTTTAATGTCCTTCTTGCTTAAAGTTGAACTCTAATTCAACTGGCCACCTTTGCTTGTTGTATACTGGCAAAATGAACTTGACTGTAAACATGTTTTTATCCTTCAACAACCTGGATTGCTTTGTTCCAATATAAGATGCCGATCCGACATTTCAAGTTGCTGTTTTTAGTTTACGTCATGATTTTTACACAAATTTGTGAGTTCATGCAGTTCAAGTGCTCCTGTCATTTAAGGCAAAAGGGAGACAGGCCAGTTACTGAGTCATTCTGACATTCCTGTTCTTTTTTTAAATTAACTTTTTATTCAAAGTGACAAACTGGTTATATAGATTTAAAAAAAAAAAAAAAAAAGCAAAATAGAAGTGAACTCAAATATTTGCATGGCTCTGTAGATTACGAGCTCTGTAAGTTCTACTCTTTTGTGTCAGTCTTGACTAGCTCAAGATATCATACTTCAATAAATCATACTCCATTAAATTATATTATCCTTCAGATCACAATGCTGAGCTCTTCCATCATTATGTTTGTTCAGGTCTCATATCAGTCTCTGCTGAGAGAGTTTAGTCATTCACACTTATCATGGAGTTACTCTGAGCAAGAGCCCTGAAATCATACAGTAGGCCCACTTCATTCAAAAGCACATGAACTCACACACATACATCATAAGCCCTATTTGGACGGTAATTGTTTCTCATGTGGACATATGTAAAAATAAATTGCATGGCACCTCAGTGATAAAACTCATGGATTCGAATGGTGATTTATTCACAGTGGAGAAGCAAGTTCTGTGATCCTTCGAACCCGAGAATGCACTGCTCATGTTGCCAGTCGCATGATTGTCTGCTGTTTATAAATATCATATGCTTGGAATAATAAGAATATATTCATATTTAATAATATCAGATTTATTATTTGATTATTTAAATCTCCTGTTTAAAAATAGGAAAATAGATGCACTATAGTTGAAATGGTTTTCTGTCTTGCATTTTATCTCTCAAAATTATGAATGTCATTAAAAATGTGGAGAATAGCAGAAATAAGTTAATGCAACTTCTTATTTACATAAGGCAAACATAAAGCTGCTTGGTTTATATTTTTTGTGTATGTAATTGTAGGCCTATATAATACATATTTTTAAATTATATTGCATGCCTGTAGCTGCCATAATAATGACTCATTTCAAATGTTTATGTGCTTTTCTTCTCATTCTTTTTTGTTCTTAACAGCTCCCACTCGCTGTGGGAGAGCAGTTCTGAAATATTGTTCTTGTAAATACTTTCCAGCATTTCAGTTTTTGTTTTTTCAGTAATAAATATGCATTCAAATTACAGTGAAGTGCAACAGTTACCCTACCATGTTCATCAGTGGTCAAAAAGCATTTAAACACTGAATTTTGAATTGATGTCTTCTTGTAAACTCAGAGATGTGGATTCAGACGTCAATTAAATTACCACATGACCTTGGTGTTTGTCAAAAAAACAGACATTCTGAATTCAGATGGCAATAAAATCACAGACTAACCCCTGTAAATGCTGAAAATCTCTTACGTCCCCATGAGAAACAATTACTGTGTGAATCAAGCTATACAGGAGAACACAACAGAACATTGTCCTGTTTTCAGACGTTAATTTGTTTAACAAAAAAAAAAGAAAAAAACTTAATATCTACTATCATGCAACCCACTAACAAGGTTTTGACACAAATTTGTGGTTAATCAATATTCTGTTTCTGCTTTTTGTCAGGTAATCCAGCGGAGGGAGGATGGGTCTGTGAACTTCTTCAGGGAGTGGGACTCCTACAGGGAAGGATTTGGCAAAATCACTGGAGAGTACTGGCTTGGTAAGTTGTGTGTTTGTGACAGAGAGGAAGCCTGTGAGCATAAACTGTGATTTTTAAAATTATCAGTGTAAAAAGCTGCCAACACCTGCGCACCCTCTCAACCACAGAGAGCCAGACAATTAGATCCTTTCCTAGTTGTTTCTACACATCTGTCAACATTTTTGTCTTGACAGACTTTGATTTTATATTTTTTTTAAATCCAGTTATAGGAATTTCTTTGAATTTTAAATTCTTTTATTTTTACTTTTTTGCATATTGCAATTATTTATTTTGTTTACTAACTCATTTCAAATTCAGGAAGTAATTTCCGAATGGTGCATCCTGCAGACCTTTTAGACCTGCAGAGAGTCATACAGTCAACAGTACACATCACAGATCTGTCAGGGTTCATTTTGCTAAAACGGCTGACTGTGCATCATCCCTTAAATGCATTTATTTGTTGGTCCAACCTAGAAACTGAAAATCACTCAACTAGAGCGCTAAACATTCATCTCCACATGATCAGTGGATGTGCAGCAGCAACTCATTCCCTTTGCTTTTCTTCCACTCCATGTAGCAAGTGGGAATCAAATCAACAAGAAAGACCAAATTTCCATGTTTACCATTTTTGCGAGCCAAAATGGCTTTTGACAGCCAAAGCGCTATAATCAAGCTCTTAACCTGCAGAGAGGTTTAAACTACAATCATTATTGTGTGTTGGTCTGCGTGAATGTTTTTGTTCCTATGTTCGCTTAATGGGATGAGCAGTGGCGACTGGCTTGTTGTTCTCTGCTGAGATACAGAGAGAGAGAAAGAGGATGTACAGGGAATTTAAAGGACGTAATTCTCTTTCACACACACAGTGTGTGAGGTCATAAATTGGCGCAACGGATGCAGGATGACAGATAGATGTGGCATCAGTCAGGCCCATGGGAATGTGGATAAAGATACAGTTGTTTCTAATGCTGCCACCCCTCCTCTGCTGGTGTGGCCAAGAGAGGCACTTGCGCTCCAGGGCATACTTATACATGGAAATAGATTCTCATTGTGTTAGATAGATTATCATCAAAGAGGCATACAGTTTGGTTTAGTTAAGTGTGAACTTACAGACCCTGTTTCTCTGCACAAAATCTTTGTTAGCTGCATTGCAGATGGCAGTCATTGCAGTTTCTATAGTGCCCTCTTCTGCTTATTCGCCACAGGCTGAGAGAGGGACAAGAGTAGCAAGCCATATTATAGTGTCCATAGTGGCCGTGTAAAGCTTCTCTCACTCATGGACATTGTTTACCCTTGAGATTGAGATAAAGCTTACATCATGTTCCTTTTAACCAGTCAAATTCCCTCATGACTCAATTTTTCTTCCTTATCGTTGACCCTCCGTGTCATTACATCCACCGAAGGCTCATGGGAGTTATGGTGATGGCAGAGGCTGCACTTGTTGGTGAAATAGGGCTAGTTTTATGATATACAGTGGTTGAATTTTGAAAAATAGAGCTTCCCCTTCCGCTTAAGTCTAGGGCTGTAATCTGTGCCAAAGTACAAAACTGCTTGAGCTCAAAAGTACAGGTCTACCAATATTTTAGAAGCTGACTTATATTGATTTACTGATT